CTTGGCCAGATTTCAGGCAAGGTGCTTCTAAACAGCCCACCCTGGGTGGAGGATCTTGCACTTAACATTCGGAAGTCCTTTGATACGCAACAGTGAAATCATGTAGAAGAGTGCATTTTCAAGCATTACTAACCACTTCTAAAATAGTCTTTGTTGTTTCGATTCTTCCTCCCTTTCTTCACCCTCTGCTGTTTTTCTCTTAGCTTCAAGTGGAGCCAAAGGTAACAGAGGGACTGACTTGCTGGTTTTCCACCAATATAAACAACCACCGATTTGGGGAAATGCTGCCGTCTGGTTTGTACACGATGCAGAGCCAGCAGGGGGCGCTCGCCGCCCGGATTACTCTTCCTTCGCTCCTCACAGATTTCGCGGAGCTACGGACTACAAAATGAAGATACAAGTGGATCTTGCAGCTCTTTGGTCATCGTCTCCGGCTGCAGAGTCAGCAGGCCTGGACCTCCATCCCGTGTCCAATGACAAGTGACTGCCTAACATGGGGCAGGCTGTGTCACAGGATTAAATAAAATGATGCACGGCGTCGGCCACTGCCTCTACTGTACTGCGGAATATTACCAGCAGCCAGTATCTCCAGGGATGGCAGTCAGGAAGAAGTCTTCGGTGGCGGCAGTGGTGATGCGCGTAGTGAACCGAAGAGTGACTTTCCAGAAGAGCTGGTACCAGGGAGGCCGCCCTAGACTGGGGATGTGGCAAACCAGGTTCTCCTCTCGCCTCTGTTGCTACACAAGTGTGTGTTCGTGCCTCATCTCCTCCTGGGGGACAGTACCAGCAGGGTTCAACGCTGGCCACGGCCACCCTTAAACCAGCTCTCTCTCCAGGCCTCTTCTATAAAAAGGAATAGAATTACCAACCTCAAAGGGCTGTGATAAAGATGAAAGAAATCACTAGTGAAAAACAGCGCAAGACGCAGGGCACTCATTTATTTGTTTGCCTTTTGTCACCACTGCCTATAAGCCCGTGACTCCAAGGAGGCTGAGCCCTGAGAAAGAAGTGGGGGGGGCACATCTGTATGTGTGTACGTGTCTAATGTTAAATTCTAAACACTGTATACATCCCAAATTGTTAACAGATACCAGTTGAGTTTCTTTTAGATGGCTTTACAATTTCCTAGAGTTGGAACAAAAATACAGTAAAATTAAAGCCCGAGAAGCACAGAAAGTCTGAGAGCCAAAGAAACCATCCACAAGCTCCACGTTTTTCAGTGTGACCTTGGGCCCGAAGTGTTACATTCATTGTAACAGCACCCTAGCGCTCTGTAGTTGCAAAATAAAGTACACATTATGTAATCTGAGAAGCTGGTGCTCGAGACCCTCTCACTCAGCTTTAAATAGTTTTGTTAATTCTCCCCCCCAAATTTCAATTAGTCACCTTGTTCTCCCAAGGTTCCCCTGCTTCCTCCTTTGGTAAGACTCATCCTTCAAGCCCTCACGTTTCTCCTAAAATTAACCCATATGCTACTATTCACAATCCCCTGTGTATTCACTTGTACACATTAAATCCATTTGTGTACCCCTGCAAACTAAGGGTCCAGAGCCCAGGAATGTGAGGAGCCACATCAAAAGTGAGACTGGTGTTTACAAAGGAAACGACATAATTTCACAACAGTGATACAGCTTTGGTTGGCACTGACAGACATGCTTTTAAAATCATGATGCAAGCCAGCAACACCTACATATGTATTAGATGGTATTATTACTTTCAGAAATTTTACTTTTTTTTTTTTTTTTTTTTTTT